CTCTGTTCACGACAGTAAATAGGTACCCGGGCTCAAGTCAACTGTTGTGGGATCGAATCATGGAGAACGTCAGAAATCCGACTTTGAGGGACCCTCGATATAAACCTAACGTACTCACCTAATTGTACTCAACTATTTGTGCTTGCGGGAGTTGAGCTTTGGCTCTTTGGTCCCGCCTCTCAACAGTCAATCAACTGGTGTACAGATTCCTGAGCCTACTGGGCTCTATCATGTCTACACTTGAAACTGTGTATGGAGTCAGCCTCCACCACATCACTGCCTAGTGCATTCCATTTACTAACTACTCTGACACTGAAAAAAATTCTAATGTCTCTGTGGCTCATTTGGGTACTCAGCTTCCACCTGTGTCCCCTTGTTCGTGTTCCACCTGTGCTAAAGAGTTTGTTTTTGTCCACCCTGTCAATTCCCCTGAGAATTTTGTAGGTGGTTATCATGTCTGCCCTTACTCTTCTGTCTTCTAGGGACGTGAGTTTCAGCTCCTTTAGCCTTTCCTCGTAGCTCATACCTCTCAGTTCCGGGACGAGTCTGGTGGCATACCGCTGAATCTTTAACTTTGTCTTGTGTTTAACTAGGCATGGACTCCAGGCAGGAGCTGCATATTCCAGGATGGGTCTGACAAATGGAATACATGGTCCTGAACGATTCCTTACACAAGTTTCTAAAGGCAGTTCTTATTTTGGCCAGTCTAGCATATGCCGCTGATGATATCCTTTTCATGTGGGCCTCCGGGGACAGGTTCGGTGTGATATCGACCCCCAGATCTTTCTCTATTTGACTCTTGCAGGATTTCATCTCCCAGATGATACCTTGTGTTCAGCCTCCTGCTCCCTTCGCCTAATTTCATTACTTTGTACTTTTCCGAGTTGAACTTTAGTAGCCATTTTCTAGACCATTCCTCCAGTTTGTCCAGGTCATCTTGTAGTCTCTTATCATCATCTGTCATGATTCTTCTCAGAATTTTTTCATCAGCAGCAAATATTAAGAGGAATGAGTCTATAACCTCTGGAAGATCGTTTACATATATTAGAAACAGGATGGGTCCAAGTACAGAGCCCTGTGGGTCTCCGCTGGTGACATCTCACCACTCTAATGTCTCCCCCTTCAGTTACTCGCCGTTTCCTGTTGCTTAGATACTCCCTTATCCACTGGAGCACTGTGTGCGCGCGCGTATGCGCCCTTGGGGGTGGGGGCATTTGCACATACGCAGGCTGCCTGTCCCCGACAAAACTAACCATACCTTCTCAGCTGGACCTGGCCACCTCCGAAGGATATGTAAACACTCCGAGGAGCTCCTTGTCAGGGACAAGAAGACTTATGCTTACAATTCATCATGTCCGGGGACAGGCAGCCAGTGTGTGTATATATATTTATGGGTTCACCATAGCCCGGGCTACTTTGAGCTTGTTTAGAGTAGCTGAATCTTGAACTACAACAACGTGTATATATACATGACAGGCTTATATCGAGGCCCCTCCGCAAAAGTGTAACTAACCTTTCCAGGACGCAACCCCACAAGAAGTTGACCAACACCCGGTGTCGGAAAAACTGACAATTTAATACAATAGGCAGATAATATTGCTGCTGGGTTGTATAAATAAAGTCATAGAAGACGTGACAGTGGAATTTTCCTCCCCGTAGAAAACGAGATATAATTGCCACATGTCGTCATTAAATTAATCAGCTATATTACTGGGAATTAGCCTTAATGCAGCAGTCTTTGGACTGTCAACACCATAAAAAAACCATTTCTCTTGAATCAACCTTATTATCAGTACTAAAATAGAGTAAATAAGTGCCCCTTTAACCACTTCTTGACTCGAGAACAAGGATACGTCAGCGGGAGGGTGGCCTCTGGCAGTCATTAAAATTATCAACAAAGTCTAGAGTAAAGCTCACTTCAAGTTCCACAGACATTTTCCTTCGACACCAGTGTTACGGGACTAAGTGTTCCCGTTATCAACACGCATTGTCTACACTAAGGGAAGTGTTCTTTCCGAAACTCGTTTATTACCCGTTTAATTCCTGATCAGAAATGTTATAGGTTGTTATAGAGTGAGTCGGTTAGAATGCGAACGAGACAAAAACAAGGTAAATATTTCTTGGTCCTTATCTCAATATAACAATGTTTCCTCTGATATATCTGACATACTAGGATTACTGCTATTATTTGTGAGTACCCTTTGACAGGCGGATACTGGAGAGGAACAAGAATTAACACTAGTAACCTAGCATCAGTATACGAGTGGAGGCCAGTCACATCCACGAGGAGTTACCGACTGGCGTGTTCTTCCGTGTTCATACTGGTTGTCTAGGATATAATAATAAAGGGTCTCACCACTTTAGTTTATGCCTCACTACATATATATTTAGTCTAATACTGTAGTGAATGTCTACAAATCAACAATTTTGATTACCTACATATAAACTGTAAACCCCCAATAATGTGTAAGGAAGCGATTTGCGAGACAATTTAAGAAATACAGTCCACTTTAACCATCACAGTTTACTATCGAAATAAATATAAATTAAAGCAAAATTTAAATAACTATATCAATTAAATATAAATCACAGGTTAATTCCCCACACCCGGTGGCTGAGCGGACAGAACACTGGACGCGTGATCCTGTGGTCCCGGGTTCGATCCCGGGCGCCGACGAGAAACAATGGGCAGAGTTTCTTTCACCCTGATGCCCCTGTTACCTAGCAGTAAATATGTACCTGGGAGTTTGTCAGCTGTCATGGGCAGCTTCCTGGGGGTGGAGGCCTGGTCGAGGACCGGGCCACGGGGACACTAAGCCCCGAAATCATCTCAAGATAACCCGGGTACCTATTTACAACTTGGTGAACAGGGGCATTAGGCGATAGGTAATGCGCCCAACCGTTTCTGACCCGCCGGGGATTCGAAGTCGGAATTCCCGATTATTCGAAGCGAACGAACCCGACTGCACTACCTGCCACACGTTGCAACCCACAAGCCCTTCACTCAGGGTACCAATTTACTGTTAACAGAGGCATCAGGCGTAAATAAAGAGCCTAAACTTCTCCGGACCAATCAAGTGTGGCCGTAATAACCGTCCAGTGGTGGACCTGCCGTAATCCACCCCCCCCCCCCATCCTTCCCCTCTGCAACGTGACTTTTTTAAACAATTTTCAAGACTTGGCCTTATATGAGTCTTTCTTCACCGGAATATAATTCTAAGACAGCGTTCCTGTCTTATATTTTTTGTTCAAGGAAATTTATTGAGAGGAATTAAATCTCAAACGGACAGTAGTGTCTTAGGCTACTTCTTCCCTCCGTCATATGTGTTTGAAGGTCATATTGTACTTGGAAATATAATTATGCACATACGATAAACAGGTGCAGCGCCGTGCTAGAACCAACAGATGTGTGATCCTGTTGCAGGTGTACAGAACAATCATTTGCCCAGAACATCTCCATTTTGAGCACTTCAAAGAGAGGATTCTTCCCGGGAACTTTATGCCGTGCTTGGGTGTCTAGGGGAGACTTGTCAGGGATGACTGATAACGTACAAGGAGCCCACATTATCATAACCCTACTTGGTAACGAAGGAACAACGACGTCCTTCTATACAGTTCACGCGTCGAACCCCCAAACCTTTACTTCCTGGTAATGTAAATATCAACATGAACCAGCCTAACTACTCCCTCATTAGTAACAGTAAGTATTAACTCGTGTCACATCTTACTACGATAGTTTGAGTGACAGGCTGACGGCGTTGTCTCTGGCTCTTTATTTACAAACACACAAGGCGGCAGAATGGGTCGTAAAGCTACCCACGGTGTTCACTGAGTGGCCCGGTCTCGCACACAGTCACTCAAGCGCTTCGGACACTCTAAAGCTAAGCAAAAAATTTGCAGCGAAATAATCAGGAGGAATCGTTAATATTGAATACAAAAATATACATACGATAGATAAATACCGAGTTCGAAAACCCATAATTACCACATCAATATAAAGCGGCGATAAAATAAACTATACTGATGCAGTTGCATTTCAAGTTCAAGTATGTTTAATGAGATAAGAAAGAAATACATCTCAAAGGGATAGAGTAGCTTAGGCTATTTCTACCCACCTTATGCAGTTGCATTTCTTGATACTAAAAAAAGGGAAAAACAAAAAATGACTTAGCTGGCCTGTCAGGCAATGACCTCTAAGCGTCCAGAGCCACGACCAACACCGCTGTGTGAGGTCAGGTCGCGAGTGAGACGACCTGACCTCCACCCCCGTCACTGAGACTCCGTCGTTACTCTGGCAACCTCTCACAAAACGACTGACGAGAACATTATCGTCACCAACGACTGTTACTCCAACTGCTTTAAGGTACGTCTGGTTCACTGTGCCAGAATTTATATTGGTTTGTTTGAGAAATATTCGACCAAAATTAGCGAATAAATATAATAGCATTGATCTAATTCACTGTCTCGGGGGACAGGCAGCCAGCGTATATATACATGTTAGGCTTGTATCGAGGTTCACCCCCACCCCAGGTCGAACTTTTGACCCCTCCCTGGGATGCAACCCCACAGTAAGCTAACTCCTGAGTATTCATTTACTGCTAGGTGAACAGATGCATCAGGTGATAGGAAACGCGCTCAACCATTAATGTCTCTCCCGGTATTCGGTCCCGGAACTTCCGAACGTGAGTGGGGAACGAACACGACTGTAGCTAGACACAGGTGCCCAGGTGAGTGGTGCCCCAGGTGTGTTGGACACAGGTGAGTGGTGCCTCTATACACCAGTTGAAGTCACCAGTCACTAACAGGACTGATGATGGGTTTCGACAACCTGGCGAGAGATGGGGGGAGGGGTTAGTTGTTTTTTGAGTAATATCTGTAATTTTCTGTAAAAAATTAAGTCATTTTTAGATTTTTTTCTGAGTAATCCACTGGGGGTCTGTAACCGTATCAAGAGGTTCCGAACCCCTCCCCCCAGTCTACAGGGTAATAAAACAAATAAAGGCTTTTCTTTTTTAATGACATAGATATAGTAAATAATTTCATATCATTAAATGTATATAAAATGCCACAAGTTCCATACATGCCTCTGCACTCCGCATTGGTGAGTGTGTCGTTTATAGCGGGGTTTAACGCCTCATCCCCGTAAACATTTACACATTTATCAACAATTCACCCCAAACCAATTTGACCAACTGACATAACTACTAAACATGATTGTAGAGCTCAGTAAAGTAGTTTAAAAATATTTATCTTAATTTTGGGGGTTTATACACTTTTAAGGAATATACAATAACAATATTTTTCAAGTATATCAAAATGTACATCTCAAGCTGAGTACACTTTTGTTTTCTGCTTTTGTCTAGAATATTGAAAAGCTGTACATTTTATTTCCAACACCTTAATATTTAATTTTTTTTTTTGTGAGAGATGGTGTGTGTTATGAAGACTGACGTGTTCCCTGCGAGAGAGAGAGAGACACACCCACATACACACCTGGTGCTGTCTCTACCAAGGAGGAGAGGGACCTCTCATCCTAATATTGCGGTTGTTAAAGAAGAACTCCGGGTCATAGCTACTACGAAGGGGAGTAGAGGAATAATAGTCTGAGTAGCTCTCGGAGTTGGAGTAATCTGGTGTTTCGTAGGGAGCCGAGTACTTGGTTCTGAAGGTAGCCTCGTCCGGTAATTGTTGGTAAGTTGGATACTGCTGAGCACGACTCTTATAGGGAGATGACGGCGCGAAGGGATTATCATTTGGAGTAAAGGAAACGTCTATTGGATATATTTCTATGTCGTACTGTGATTGAGGCTGGTTAAGGCGTTTTGAACGAGGCTGGTTAAAGTTATTTGGCCTAGGCTGGTCGAAAATATTTGGCCTAGGCTGGTCGAAAATATTTGGCCTAGGCTGGTCGAAAATATTTGATCTAGGCTGGTCGAAAATATTTGACCTAGGCTGGTCGAAAATATTTGACCTAGGCTGGTCGAAAATATTTGACCTAGGCTGGTCGAAAATATTTGACCTAGGCTGGTCGAAAATATTTGACCTAGGCTGGTCGAAAATATTTGGCCTAGCCTGGTCGAAAATATTTGGCCTAGCCTGGTCATAAATATTTGACCTAGCCTGGTCATAAATATTTGACCTAGGCTGGTCGAAAATATTTGACCTAGGCTGGTCGAAAATATTTGGCCTAGGCTGGTCGAAAATATCTAAAATCGTCTGGTCGAAAACATTTGACTTTTGCTGGTTGAACATATCTGACCTAGGCTGGTCAAACCTATTTGGTATAGGTTGGTCGAACCTATTTAACGGAAGCTGGTTAAACCTATCAAAAGCAAGCGGCGAATTTAAAGTTCTCATCATTTGAGCTCTCTCACTTACCTCGGGCTCAATTCTGGTATAAAAAGGTTCATAATTCTCAAAAGGATTTCGAACTAGGCTTTCCAGTCTTGCTGATGCCTGTGGATAAAAGTTCTCCTCGCGCCTCTCTTCTGGCATAACAATTTGTTGAAAAGCTCTGAAGTCTGGCCCGAGCACTCTTCGGCGTCCAGGACCACTGAGCTGTTGTGGATAGTCCCCTTTCAGTTGGAACGGTTGAGGGAACATTTGAATACTGTGCTGTTGTCTGTATATGTCATAGTTGTGTATGTTGGGCTGGAAAGGTGAGGCTTCCTCTTGCCTTCCTGGAAAGTTGTTTGGTTCTTCGTTGATGTCAGAGACTTCGTTATATCTTTCCCGGTATGATTCCAGGTCACTACCCGAGCCAATAGTGTCATCAGGGAACACTGAGCTCGTGAAGTCTGGTGCCTCTTGCGGCATCTCTGACTGGGGTGAGAACTGAACCGGCATATTGTTTCTGATTATGCGAATGTTTGGAGTTTGTTGAGAAATATCAAACCGACTGGGAAACAGAGGCATGTTATCACTCATTATATCAATGTTTGGCGTGTCTTGAGAAATATCAAACTGTGTGCGGAACGGAGGCATGTTATCTCTCATCATATCAATGGTTGGCGTGTCTTGAGAAATATCAAACTGTGTGCGGAACGGAGGCATGTTATCTCTCATCACATCAATGTTTGGTAGTTGTTGCGTGATCTCTGGCTGAATTGGGAACGGAGACATATTGTCTTCGTCTGTATCAATGTTGGGTGTTTGAGGTTCTGCCACGAGCGGGTCCTCGGCTGCTAGGAAGTTGGGATCTTCTCTAAACTGCTGGGGAGACACTCGAAGCATTTGGCTAATTTCGTCGTTACTAGGGAAGATTATTTGAGGGTTGTTGTCGTCGTCACGCGTCCAGGGCATTTGCTGGTCTCGAGTAATAGGAGTTGGGTAATTGTCTAACGAAAATTCAGCAATTGGCAGAGGTCGTTCCTCACTGATGATCGGCTCTTCGTTAATTGGAATGACAGGCATCATGTTTTCGTCAGTGTCTTGCTGTGGGTCATTCATTACAATGATATCAACAACATCATTTTGAGAACCATTGGGAGTTTGATCTTCCTCCATCATCAAGAGCGACTCTCTCATGTCTGCTGTTGGTGTGGGGCTGTTCTCTATTACCAGAACTGGGATTATGCTGTCCTGGAAGGAATTTTGATTGAGTTCTATTAAATCCTCATTAAGGTGCTCTGGCGTAAGTTGGTCCGGAAGCGTAGTAACGGGCAACGAGTCGCTGTTGAATGGAGCGTCAGAGCTTCCCAGTGCAATGTTTTCTTCGTCTGGGACAACATCTGGCATATTTATTCCCTCTGATGCAACTTCTTCGTCTGGAACCATGAAATCAGACTGTAAATCCACAGCTTCAGGCCCGTCAACCTCTCCAGGAATATCCTGATGGAACCTTACAACTGGCTCTTCAGTCATGTATTGTTCTTCATCGTTATAAAAGTAGTCATTTGACAAAGGGGCAGTCTCTTCTACCTGTGGTGCCACATCTTCATGAACGATGAATTCATCTTCAGGAGCCAAATCATAGGGACTTTCCTCAACTGGAGAGTCTTCAGAAGGTGGACTCTCGGGACTTGGAATGAAAAAGTCCGCCAGTGATACCTCTTCTTGTGTATCTGGTTCAGATGTAAATTCCATTAAGTAATCGGTGTTTGGCGCAAATGGAACTTCACGAGTTTCGTCCATAGGATGTTCCTCTCTCAACATTACAATGACGTCTTCGTTGACCGGTAAGATGTCTTCATCAATTGGTTCAAAAACTGTTGGAACTTCAGCGTCGCTCTCAGATGGGGTATTAGGGTAGTATTCTTCTCGTCCAAATTGTGCTTCAACATTGGCTGATAACTCTGGAGAAAACTCTTCAATTTGAGTATTCTCCATCGGATGAATCAAACCCATATCGGAAGATGTGTCAGTGGGAAGAGCAGCCTCTGAAGTCTGCTCTCCCGTGTTGAGATTTTCTTCATGATTATAACCGGGAACGAATAGGCGAAAAATGTCTTGTGCCATCTCTTCCAATGTGCCACGATTAACTGGAGAGTTAACTTCGCCAAAGTCCCCAATGGGCGTATCAGGTTCATATTGTACATCTGCTTGTTCCACTTGCGGTTGTGGCTGTTCCACCTCTGGTTGTGGCTGTTCCACCTCTGGTTGTGGCTGTTCCACCTCTGGTTGTGGCTGTTCCACCTCTGGCTGTGGCTGTTCCACCTCTGGTTGTGGCTGTTCCACCTCTGGTTGTGGCTGTTCCACCTCTGGCTGTGGCTGTTCCACCTCTGGTTGTGGCTGTTCCACCTCTGGTTGTGGCTGTTCCACCTCTGGTTGTGGCTGTTCCACCTCTGGTTGTGGCTGTTCCACCTCTGGTTGTGGCTGTTCCACCTCTGGTTGTGGCTGTTCCACCTCTGGCTGTGGCTGTTCCACCTCTGGCTGTGGCTGTTCATATATACTTTCTACTTGAGGTGCTAATTTCTCATCAATATGCTGCGTCTCCTGTTCTGTGGGTGCCTGGCTCTGATCAGTGTCTAAAACGTTTTGTTCACCCTCCTGATCCGGTGCAGTTTTGGGTTGCTCTTCACTGGGAGGCTGGACCGCGAGTGCTTCCTGATCCTGGGCCGGATCTTGACTGCTCGACACCACATCTACCTCGGGCCGAACCTTCATCTCATCGCCGAGTATGTCGTTGTCCTCAGGGATAGCGCTGAGGATGAGCTGCATCAGGTCCGGTTGGCCGATGGCGGGCGGCATGGGGATGGCCCCCACCACGGCCGCCAGCCCCAACAGTAGTATGATCTGAGGAGAATAACAAAATATCACATTAATTGAGCTGTCCAATTACGCTTGGGATATAAGTTAAGGCTGTGGCATATTCTGTCTAATAATTGTTTTAGCCATAAGTGTGTAAGTTATAGTGTATGATACTTGTACATAATAATTCATTGTGTCAGGGGACAGGCAGCTAGTGTTGTTGTTGTTATAGATTCAGCTACTCAGAACAAGTTCCAAGTAGCACGGGCTATGGTGAGCCCGTAGCTTACCTAGCACAAGAGCGGGGCAAGTAGCAGGGGCTATGGTGAGCCCGTAGCTTACCTAGCACAAGAGCGGGGCAAGTAGCACGGGCTATGGTGAGCCCGTAGCTTACCTAGCACAAGAGCGGGGCAAGTAGCACGGGCTATGGTGAGCCCGTAGCTTACCTAGCACAAGAGCGGGGCAAGTAGCACGGGCTATGGTGAGCCCGTAGCTTACCTAGCACAAGAGCGGGGCAAGTAGCACGGGCTATGGTGAGCCCGTAGTAGACTTACCTGGCACAGGAGCGGTGCTGTTATCTGCAGCCAGTGTACATAGTGTACTTGCCCGAAACGCTTGTGCGTAATAGTGGCTCTAGGTATTGTATGTACAAGTTCTATCTATAAATCCAACTGTATGTTTGTAACTTATCTTGTAAGTACGTACTTTTACCTAGGTAAACATTCAATTATTTATTATTATATTTAGTTAAACTTTTATCAAGGTCCCGCACAAGGTCGAATTACTGCCCCCCCCCCTCCTAGGATGCAACCCCACAACAAGCTGACTAACTCATGTGTACATATTTACTACTAGGTGAACAGAGGCATTAGGTGATGAAAAACGCGCCCAAACCATTTCTGTCCCGCCCAGGATTCGAGCCCGGAATTTCCGATTGTGAGTCAGAAACAAACCCGACTATACGGCCGGGACATAAAGGTATAGCCAACATAAGCTAATCAATAAATGAAACAGGAAAAATATCAACAGAAAAATACCTAAACATATATAATGTAAACAAACAAACCTAAAAAAAAATAATGAAATAAATATTTACATTTCAAAATAATGAAAAATTAAATTAGTTAGTCCTTCAAAAAAAGAAAGAAAATGGTCGTCAAAGTAAAATGAAAATGTAAATGCCACGGAAATGGCATGGGATAACAAAAATGTTTTTTAATGATTATAATAATAATAATAATAATAATAATAATAATAATAATAATAATAATAATAATAATAATAATAATAATAATAATAATAATAATAATAATAATAATAAAATATTAAAAAAAAATAAACATTATCACGTAACTTGTGTACATGTTTAATGGGTAACAACGCTAAAGCAGAAGTTGTTTGAGAAGTAAGCTAATATACATATATTGTTAAGGAGGTTTATAAATGTAAATAATTGTAAGTAATATTGAAAACTAGTTTTGAGCAAGAGTACAAATATAGTATTAAATGTTCACAGTAACAGCAACATGGCTAAATAATGCAGAGGCTTATAACTAAATATTTGATATGACGATATAGAAAGGCTTGTAAACTTCATGTCCAATAGGAAGATGACTAATCAGCTCTTCACTGTATTGTGTTCTGCACTGAATACATTACAGTGCTCATCAAATACATTATATATATATATATATATATATATATATATATATATATATATATATATATATATATATATATATATATATATATAATATATATATATATATATATATATATATATATATATATATATATATATATATATATATATATATATATATATATATATATATATATATATATATATATATATATATATATATATATATATATACACACGAGAGTTCTTACATTCTTGTACAGCCACTAGCACGCATAACGTTTCGGGAAAATCCTTAATCCTAATTTTCCCCGGAATACGACCCGCCAAATCGTTTAACGTACCCATTCACTGCTGGGTGAGCAGAGGCTACAGTTAAGGATTGGCTCCCGGTCAATCCTCCCCAGGCCAGGATACGAACCCAGGCCAAAGAGCTCGCGAAACCCCAGGCGAGTATGTTACCACTTCGCCACGGGGACTGCAATAGCATCAAGACTGAACTGAACAGGACTGAACATCATGTTCAAGACAGGATTGAACATCAGTGATGTTCATTGACATCAAGTCATTGAAATGAATTGAGGTATGTCATGTATGGTGTATGAAATGTCCAGGATGGACCGAAACGTTATCGTTTCTCTATCTTCTGGTGCGTCGTTTGGTTATCAAACGACGGAACAATAATAAATTCTGTTTTCAGACAACACTCAGCCGCCCTCTGTTTAAATCCCTAAACATGCTAAACATAAATTCACTCCACACATTGTCTTGTGCCGTTTACATTTACAAAACCTTGTTCTTAAATACAAATCCTGATCTGAAACTCTTCCTGTACAGATGTAATAGAACCCATAATCACTACACCAGAAATAGATATCGTTTTGATATCCCCAGAGTCAAACTTAATCTGTGGAAACACTCTATGCAAATAAAGGGACGTATAGTTCCATGAACTCACTCCCTAACGAATTGAAAAGGTGCACAACCTACGCCTTATTAAAAATATAACCAAAAAGTACTTATTGTCATTCTCATAGTTTCGTACCTTGTGCCTTAAACTCACACTGTATCTTGTGCTACCCACTCACCCACTCTATGTGAGTAAGCCTCACCCACTATATGTGAGTAAGCCTCACCCACTATATGTGAGTAAGCCTCACCCACTATACGTGAGTAAGCCTCACCCACTATATGTGAGTAACTATATGTGAAGGAGGCCTGGTGGACGACCGGGCCGCGGTGACGCTAAGCCCCGGAAGCACCTCAAGGTAAGCCATTCAACATCACCACTGTAATCACTGCTATCATCTTATATCATGGTTGATATATTGAAGCATATTTTCCTACATTAGACCTAGAAATAATCCTCAAACTATGCTACAATGTACCTGTTGATAATCCTTAAATTTTACTATAATGTACCTACTAATCTTCGTCAAATTTTCTTACAATGTATCTGTTAACATTTCCCAATTTTACTAGAAATTACATACTTAACATTATCTGTTAGATTAAGGACCTGCCCGAAACGCTATGCGTGTTGGTGGCTTTACAAGAATGTAAAAACATTAATGCTATGTACTCTCATAAACCCAACGTACCTTCTTCTAAATATATAAATAAATACAAATAAATAAATAAATAAATAAATAAATAAATAAATAAATAAATCATATCTTCAGCCACGTTATTGTGACTCATCGCTGCATTTAATGATATATTGCTGATAAATTCAATATATTGCTGAATTAAATGTTGTGAGAGTTGATACCCCAACAGATACTGGTACACTGACCACCACAACTTCATCGCTCCACGCAAAGAAGTTACGACGACCCACGCAAAGAAGTTACGACGACCCACGCAAAGAAGTTACGACGACCCACGCAAAGAAGTTACGACGACCCACGCAAAGAAGTTACGACGACCCACGCAAAGAAGTTACGACGACCCACGCAAAGAAGTTACGACGACCCACGCAAAAGAAGTTACGACGACCCACGCAAAGAAGTTACGACGACCCACGCAAAAGAAGTTACGACGACCCACGCAAAAGAAGTTACGACGACCCACGCAAAGAAGTTACGACGACCCACGCAAAGAAGTTACGACGACCCACGCAAAGAAGTTACGACGACCCACGCAAAGAAGTTACGACGACCCACGCAAAGAAGTTACGACGACCCACGCAAAAACCTATCAAGGAAAACCGCTCTGTTTACATAAGTCGTTGAACATGGAACGGAACACAGGGCAGCTGCACAAGAACAAAAAAAATATTATCACCTTCGTTCCAATTTGTGCAGCCTAAACCTTGAGAATGACTGAGCAACATTCCCTGACTGCCCCGTCATGCTGGCTCTTTAGGGAACGATAAAAACATCTTACGGGCAGGCTGCAGGGAGCCCCCAGGCTGCAGGGAGCCCCCAGGCTGCAGGGAGCCCCCAGGCTGCAGGGAGCCCCCAGGCTGCAGGGAGCCCCCAGGCTGCAGGGAGCCGCCAGGCTGCAGGGAGCCCCCAGGCTGCAGGGAGCCGCCAGGCTGCAGGGAGCCGCCAGGCTGCAGGCAATATGGAGTGTGAGCCAACCGCTCAGTCCAGGCCGGAAATCCCCGGGTAAGCCGCAAGGTGGCCGCGGTTGTGTTGTCAAGGAGAGGCCGGACTCCTCTCTCCCTCCCTCCCTCCCACCCCGCCGTTCCAGTCAAAGACTGGTACTTGATATTCTGAATTAAATCACAGAAAAAAAGTGATATATATCGAACCCACGTCTCGAGGACTCCGCCAGACAGAGCAGTACCGGGGGACAGACGCTCATGCAGGTCACGGAGAAGGGCAGGACAGTCCCACGCTATGACTACAAAGGTATGGTCTCTGGCAGACTTCCAGCTTGCCTTGCGTTGACGGTCGCCTTCCAGCCCGGCCTCGTACTTGATATCTTTACCAAAAATAGCATTCCTGTAGTATTTTTCCTTCAGCACATCTTGGCCAAATATTATATTTTATACTGGTGGAATCTGAGCAATTCGGGGATTGTCGGAGAGGAAGCCAGCCTGTCATGCAGCCAACCGGCAAGCCAGCCAAGCAGCCAGGAGCACAATCAACAAGCCTGACACCTAATCAAGCAGCAAAGCAGATAATAAAGTAGCCAAACAGCCAAACATTCAAGAAGCAAGTAACCGGGGAGACAGAGCAGAGAGCTTTTCCACAGGCGCTGTCAAGGTGACGGGTGAGGCGGCCGGCCGCCCGCCCGAGGGCAGGGCGCCGCATGACGACTGCGTCTTGCCCTTAGTGCCTGCCTCCTCCACCACACCGCTGTTGCTGTTGTTGTTATAGATTCAGCTACTCGAAGCAAGTTCCAAGTCGCACGGGCTATGGTGAGCCCGTAACTTACCTGGCACAGGAACGGG